TACACTGCATTACAAAAACACTCTAACCACCCTTTCACTTTTACTTTAAACTAGCCAAACTGCACTGTACTGTTGGATTATTACTGGCACACTTACTCCTGCACCTCCTCTTCCACTTATGCACTGTCAAGATCACAACGAGTCAACAAAATACCAAAGACACAAGTACCACCTTGAACATAACTCTTGAAAATAATTTGAGAGTCAGGGCAAATGTCTCAAATGTTCAAAATAAGTTTCCAGTACTGAACAAGAGATTGGCAACATCACATATTTAAAAAGAATTGGAAAAGAGGTTGAAATGTATAGTTTCCTTCCTGAAAAGGGGGATATCATCTCTCCTTACTCCCCTGAAGTCATGCACTGATGGTAAATTGTAATTACTAATAGACGCTTGCCAGTTACATGGAAGACTGTTGCATAGCCAGCACTGTCACCACCTGCCTAATGAACAGGCAGGATTGAACAGAACCTCGGCATGGCTTTAAACTCTGCAACATGAACGCAGGAAAGCGTGCCAAGCATTTGTTTTTAGGTGTGCTCTCTAAACGATTGAGAGGAACACAAAAAAAAACTTGGCCAAGAAATTTACTACCTTGGTGAAGTATTTCCATGTCATAAAGAGCCACTTTAAACATGTTGTTAGGCTTTTAAAACCACTCTTATTAACTACTGCACAGTAGTTTGTTTTGGTTCACAACACTGAATTGTGCATAATGCAATTGTGCATAATGCAGAATTCTGACATCTTGGCTTAGTTATTTTTAGAAAAATTTAATTGTTCAACATCTTTGTAAAGCAACTTTCACAGTCACAGATATTAGCTCAGATTTGATCTGTTTCTTGGAGAGGATTTATCTAACAATGTAAATGCTTGAAATGTAGTTTTTTTAATTATTCTAATTAACATTTTGTTGTGTAAACAGCAGCTGGTAAAGCCTGAACTTTACAGAATTAGAGATATGCTGACATCATATGTAAATAAAGCACCTCATCGGATTAATTTCTTCTGCCGCCTTTGTGTACGGTATTATTTGTGTAATCAGTCCTGCTGGAGAGAAGTTGGAGGAGGCAGAGCAGGAGAAGGGTAAGAGGGGAGGGAAGGAAGGGCGAATCTCTTTCTACTTTCCGCCCCAGTGTTTGAAGTCTAAAATCTTTTGCAGGGTTTTAAACATCTGTTTCCAAACTGCCAGCAGCCACTAATTAGGGCTAAAAACAAGACGGGACGTCGTGAGAACCCTGGGGTGGGCATGAGGCGACATGCACACCCCGCTAAAAAACCACCGCATTCCTCTGTTTAAAGACTACTTCTCTGAAAGGGGGGAGTGGGGCAGGGGTTGCAGGGGAGAAGCAGGGCGGAGGGAGGTGAGGTGGTGGTAGGTGGGAGGAAAGAGATACGGGAGGGGTAGGCATTATTTTGAGGCCCCACCTGTCAGTGTTTTCTGTTTGATTCTAAGGGCTGTGTGTGTGTGTGTGTGTGTGTGTGTGTGTGTGTGTGTGTGTGTGTGTGTGTGTGTTTCAAAGTCTTAGAGGGGTTTTGTTGCGGCTTTCTATACCATTTGAAGTCATCAAGGTGCATAGTATTTTACAGTATAACAGCTCAGCAATGACTCATACTCAAGTTTGTTCTCTGTCCCTCCCTTCAATAAATACTCTGTTTCTTTTTCTCTTTCTGTCTGTTTCTCTTTCTCTCTCTTCGTGAGCACTGATCTCGTCAGCAACACCCCTCGAAGTATCTCCATGTAAACAATTGGTATTGTACTGAAAGCTCACACAGTCCCCTAATTTTATACTTCTGTTCAAATTTTCAACAGTGAGTTATAACCAGATCTATCAGATAAGTGAGTAGCTTTGAACCCTACCAAGGTCACCAGGGGTCATCAAACTCGTGTCAAAGTACAAGAGGTAAGGTCAGGATGTCATTTAGAATCTTTCCAGAAACGAGGTATGATCTCTTTGATGTTGATGACTTTGAGCCAAAGTTTCTCTTGATGCTTCAGCGTGCTTGGCTGGAGATTTGCAGCCTGGCATACTGAAAACAAAATTTATTGTTAGGAATCTGAGAGCCAATATTTAGCCTGTTCTAAATATCCTTCTGGAAAGATCAAACTGTAAATTAAAATAAAGCTGAGTGATGATGGTTGTAGTTTGTTTTCTTTGAGCTACTGTTGCTCTTCTCAAAGTTTAAAGGGTGTTATTATATATTCTGACTTTCTCTTCAGGGCACTTCACCTGCCAAATGGTGAAACTGGAGTGGTTTCTAATGTATACAATCTATAGAAGTATATCATTTATTTTCATTATTTATTTTACTACATAAAGTAATATCCATGGCATTATTTACTTTTTAATTGACTTTGTGCCTTTAAAATTTCTCCCATAACACATAACCTGATGAACCTTTTCAGCTTTTGTTTCCGGCCACATCTACAGGTAAAGTGTCCACATCTTTTCTTCACATCCCCCTGCGTATTGTATTTATTTTCTTCTTTCTTAATCTTTAAGCTTATGTTTACACACGTTTACTCTTCCTGTTACTACTTTATATAACCCATTATTAAGCATTTTTACATATTACATATTTACTTCACACCTATTCATAAGAGAAGCGGATTAGAGTCTTACTCAAGGGCATTTTGGCCGGATGCCCCGCAGCAAAAGGACAAACTAACAATGGAAGACAAAAAAACAGATAGAACCTGGAGTGTTTTGGATGTGTTGTTGTGACAGCATACAATGCAGTCACACAACATTGTATAGCGTCACACATGTCGCTCTGCCACCATCCAAAGTTTCAATTATTGGGAAGCATGTGGTGAAAACATGAAAACAGACATGAAACATATGAGACCAAAGTCTGGCCCTGCCTGTTCCTAAAGTTCATAAATAGACAATAAGATAAGAACCCAAAAGACAAATTATTCTCTTTCCTTAGCCCATGAACCCATAACTACTTATGTCATATCAGCCCCCACCCAAAGTTTAATAGTCCACAGCACTGATTGGAATTTATGTCACCAGTTCTACATTTGACTATTTCTATCGTTACGGCTACTGTAACAGCTGTTGTTGAGTTCGGCTGACGTGCTTCACATTTGTGTTTTGTCTGCATAATCAAGGAAACCAGAAGTAAACTGATGGAAAGATACAGGCCCAAATTACTTAGGAGGAAACAGCGAACAATGAGCAATTTACGGTCGCTTCTTGTCTCTGTTCCATCACAGTGCTTGATATCGTTAAAGCCTTATCACTGTCATTTACATCTTTCTCTCCCATTGCCCAAGGCAGAAACTTCTGTGGAAGCGCCAAAAGAAGTTCGTAATTATGTCAAGATTTTAATTTAATACAACTGCTCCAATAGTTAATTATTAAGGTAACATATGATTTAGATTTAATTAATAGACACTGAAATATGTATTTGGCCATTTTATGTAGTCTAAAATATCCCACAATTTAACAATTATGCTGATGATTATTATTATTATGTTATTGCATAATGACAAAATGAATCATATAAAATGTCATTCTACCAACATGAGAAACAGTCCACTTCTCAGCTGGAAAGATACATACAACTATAGATGAAGTTTCCTGGTATTGACCACCATCACTCTACTGGAACATCATGACTGATTACAGTAATTGACAGAACACGGCGAGCACACGACCGCCATCATAACAGAACAAAGTTCAAACTGGCAACTTCCACCATCTGTCAAACACAGAGTGACTGATCTGTAAATGTTTTAAGTCCCGAGAGTTGGAGAAATTACTACAGTTACCCGGAAGAATCAACAAAATGGGGGCACAGTACAGCTCATTAAAGTGATGTCAACAAAGCCAAGCTATACAAATTTGTTGACCTAACTCAGCTACTGAAAAAGCTCATTATAATCTCTTGCACCCATATCAATCTTATTCTTATGCATATAAAAACTAAAATACACCAACCAGTGAAGCAGCCTCAAACCCTGTCTCTACTACATTAATAAGGTTGTTTTTGATTCCCCTTTAGGAAAAACTAGGTCTGCCACAAAAGGTGTTGTGGCAGAACCTCTACAGTAGTTACTGTGTGTTTGGACAACCGTTTTTCATATATTTTTAATTTTGAATTAGAATGCTTTTAAAAGACAGATTCCCTTCGTTTTTGTGTACCTGCCCAGGGACTGCTGATAGAAATCTGGAACAATACATCTCTTCTTGTGGGAGATTAATGTTTTTGTTGCAAGACTTGAACTGTAGAATAACCATTACTGAAATTGCAACTTAGGCAAAACCTGTACAAACACACACACACACACACACACACACACACGCACAGTCTCCGCCAGCAGAAATAAACAGCAATGTAACAATAATAGGCCACTGTTGACCTAGCCAATAAAATCACATTGTTATGCACTGTAGCGTTATCATTGGCCCGTAGCCCACGACACACCTACTCTTCACCTGTTTTATTGTGTATTTTGTTTTATTATATAAATTATGTGACAGATAGTGTAATATCTACATTAATACCAGAGGGACATAATGTATCTAACTGTGTTTTGGTTCCTAGATACATAGAGCATAACAGAGTAAGTATCTTAATTTAACTAGGTCCGTTTCAAATGAAAGCAACAACTGCACTGATATGTGATATTAACACAGTATTGTTTTTTGCACAAACTGGCTTCACAAGTCAAGTTAATTTCAACTTAAAGGGGCACTCCAGTGACTATACATAGTTGTAAGTGGCAGATCCATCCTAAAGCCACTGAGCAAGTCATACAACTGTGTTCATAGTTCTGTTCTGAGTAATGCTCCTTGTGGCAAGTAAACAGAACTCGATGATTGAAATAGGTGAGAAAAACAATAAACTGCAGGATTTGGGCTTTGACTGTGTCCAATATGAATGGATAAATTGTATCAAAATCTTGCTTTCAGAGAAAATGTTGCAACTCTGTCTGTTGCTCACACACACACACATCCTGTCACTTCCAATCCCCTCCCCCACTCACCTGTCTCCCAACTCTATTATTATGCAGCCTCATACGGGCATGGATGTCCTTGTAGGTTTCGCGGGCATCCAAGAAGTCCCTCGAGAACTTCTCGCCGAATTCCACATCGGGGCTGCAGCCGCCCCACTCCCAGGAGTCCTGGGGTCCCGGCAGATCGGCGGGAAAGTGCTCCATGACGCCGTGTACCATACCCTTCCCCCGGTGGATTGCCTCCAGTTGCAAACGGTGCAGTTTGATGCGAAAGGCCTCCTCGTCCCCACGCCGCTTCTCGTCACAGCTGCATGCCTTCAGTTTCCCCATGGAGCAGGCATTGGCTACTGCGTGCACCACACCTGCTGCTGCGATGGCATATGCAAAGGCACTTTCTCTGAAACCTGTGTTGTGAAAGCACAGGATAGTGTTGTTGTTATATAGCCTAATGTGGAAGTAGAACGTTGTAAGTGTCACAATCAGGAAACAGAGTTTGGGAAAGAAAACATAGTTTCATAGCTTAGTCCAAGACATGTTTTCAGATAAAATGGCAGTTACCAAGAGGAAGATGGAATTTAGGAGTGTCAATCACTGTGCTTTGCTGCAGTATGACACGAAAACCTTACGAAAGTTGACATAAGGGCTGTTTCAATATTCAGGAATGTGCCTTCTTTTAGGAAGCCGCTGTAGAGGCATTTACAAGTGCTATAAAATTGAGTTTATTATTTTCAATAACCTGCAGGCAGAACATACCAGTGTAGCATTTGTCATGAACTTGTCAAGGGAAGTGAGAGGATTACCAGGTAGATGGAAGATGACATTTCCAAGATAACAATCCAAATTAAGATTACTCTGACTAAGCTGCTGTTTACAAGTGCTTTTTAACTGAAATTGCATCAGAAATAGCAGCAAAACTATTTAATTGCCCACATTAAAGTGCCGTTGTAAAACTGCTGGATACAGATTTAAGTTGTCAAGTAATTTTCAGCTAAATTTAAAAAAATAAAAAATATTTAACAGCTAAATGAGGAAGAAAAATAAATATTTTAACCTCTCTGTTAGTACTCATATAATATTTATCATAATGCTTAGTGAGTTTGCATTTTGCATGCTTTGTTTCACACACAATCAGTAACGTAAAAGAGCTTCCTCTATTTTGATAAAGATACACACACAGGTTTAGTCACACTTTTATATACACACATGCCAATACTCATATAATGAGGGGAAACATCTGGGACAATAGAAATTAAGTGTTCCAAACACTTGCGTACTTCGTCTCTGTGGGCCAGCTGAACATGAACAGACCCCCACCACTCCCATCAGAGGACTCACACACTCAGTCAGTCGATTAAGGGATCCTAGTACCATTTAGTATCTTAACAATACAATATAATGAATGTTCTTCTTCTGGCCCATAGCAAACCATCAAGTTTCAGTTTTGGCCCTTCAAGGGAAAAAGTTTGGGCGCCCCTGTGCTAGATCCTGAATTTGTGCTGCAGCAATGTATTAAACATGTTCTCTTGAGCTTTTCAGTTAAATCCCTCAGTCAATCTTTCTCTATTCTTTCCCCATTCTTTAAAGTCTTCAAACCTTTACTGAGATCTTTCATCCAGCCTGTAGCCATTACCTTTGCTATTCTGGGGTGACTGGCACTTGACTTACCTCTCCGGCTGACTGAGTGGCATCAGATGGCTGGAGATTGATCCCTTTATCTCTTTTTGTCATATTATATTTTGCAATGAAAGTTCAGGACCAAACTATGTGTTACTTAAGTGCATGTTTTTAGGTTAGAGAGGCTGATTATGCCATACCACAGCTTTTGCCTTGTAATCATTTCAAATTGGCTCAGACGGACTACTGCATGTAGAGGAGGTGGTTAAATGACTGTGTGCATGTAATCTCTCTATACAATGTGTGACTGCTTCTGCCTTTACAGCTAAACACATCCCTTTCTCCTCGACAGTGAGTCTAACTTGCATGCGGCACATGTAATGAGTATAAGTCTACCACAACTGATCTGTAATTCAGGAGACTAATGTTACAGTACTCTCATCTTACACACACACGCACTGGAAATATAAACACACATACACATTCACCCTGTCTATGTTGATATATTTCTGTGACAAAAAAATCCATGTCCAATTGTGGAATCCGTGAATATTGAGGGATGAAGTGAGACAGCAGCACTTGCACTCGTACCCTCTGCAGTGTTTGTTGTTAGATCTCAGCTTACTGCCTGTGAGCATGGTGCCCTCAGGTTCAATAAAAGCAGCCCCACTGGCAGTCACTTACTGGTGTAGAAAACAGTGAAGATTATAATGGAAACTTGTAAAGAAAACATGAAAAGAAACCACTTAGGAGTTTATAGCACACTGCTTGAAGGGGAAATGATTCAGGCTGCTTGTTGGAGTCAAATAAAAAGCTATTAACTGGAACTGCCTCTTTTAGCACTGTTTGATGTTACTTCCTTATTTATATATTTAAGTAAACTTGATATTATTGTTTTTGTGAGATATGATGTAAAGTTTGATACATGCTGTCATGCTGGACTTCTTGCATATTTGACACTGGACACAAGAAAAGTTGAATGCACCGAAACCCCAATGAGTAAATAAGAAACGGTCTGATGTTCTCCCTTGGAACTGAACTGCACATTTGCCAGTAATAGTAACACTAATGTGACTGTAACACTATAACAACACACATAACAAATAACAAAGTTGTATCCCTTCATGGTCCATCAGACCATCACAGTTCTATTTAAGGAGACAACTCCAGCACTCTTGCCAAGATGAAAGCATGCAGATAAACAGAAGCATATTGTCACATTGTAAGGTTCAGTTCCTTGCGTTGCTTTTGTTTTGACAAAATAAACCTCTCAGGGCAATACTAATAGAACTCATTAATACAATTCTCTCATTTAAATTCAACTCAGTAAGGTGGTTTATATCTGGAAAAGTTATCTTTCTTATCTAAAGAAACCAGTGTTTTCATGATCTGTACCACTGTTAGGCAGCCCCCTGCAGGTCTGTTTAAATGCTGGGGTGTTTTAACACAGGGGTGTTTTTGCAGAATGCACCGAATTCTCTGTGCCCACTATACAGCAGCTCCAACGGCACGTTTCACCGATATGGATGAAAATAGGTACACACGTAGATCATGGCCAGATATACAAAAAAGCCTCTTACTGGCATCAGGAAATTACATGTTTAATGCTGCATTCACATGGATTCAGGCAGGCGGTAGACGGCAGACAGACAGCACCTTCCTCACAGCACAGAAAAATGATTATTAAAATGTTTATTATTATTAAATACCGTCGCAGAGAATGGCAAAAAGTTGAATTATTTTAACTTTGGACAGCAATGCAGTCTACTTTTACCGTTGCCGGTATTTTACCATAAGTTTACCGTCCTACTCTCATCCAATAACATGACATCCGGTTTACCGTCAGTCTGATTCCATGTGAATGCAGCATTATACTTTCAGGTACTACTCCTAGCAGATAGATCAGATCCAGCGGAAATTTGGTCAGAATACCCTTAAAAAGTTGATGAGGAAATGTTATGAAACTTGAGAATTTGTTGAATGCTGTTGCTGTGGCAACACGGCTAATGTTGATGTTTCGATTGGGCGACTTGATATGCTCCAATACTAATGAAACTCGGCACACATGTCACAAGGCAATACATTTTACCAATGATATTGGTCATGCACATGGGTGTGGAAGAATGGCTCCATAGTGCCCCCTTGAACATTTCAATTTAGCAGGCTTCACTCCACCTGATGAATGCCAATATTCATTCTCATTTTAGCTCTGTTTTGATTCCGGAGGTAAATATCTGGCTCTTTAGCAGCCATGCTCCACTTCGTGTTTGCCAGCTAATCACTTAACTTTGTGTGCTGTTTGGTCTTGCTGTTTTGGCTGTTGGGTTTATCAAACCTTTATTTGCTGAAAACAGCTTGACTCTGCATCTGGAAACATGAGAGCAGGAAGACTGAACCAAAACAGTAAAGTTGCTTGGTTGTAAATCCAAACAATTAACTTAAAGACTCTAAAACGGTCTGTGAAACTGAGAGGAGTGTAATAATATGTAGGTTTGTGACTATAAGTGTCCTCTTTAAGTGGTCATTTGATCCGTCGTTCTTATTAAATGTTTTTTTTTTATAGCAGCTTTAATGTGCAACATCAGATTAAGGGCAGTTGTGAATTTGGTTTTATAACAGCCTTCACTAACTCACAATCTAACCCCCCCCCTTGACCCACACAAGGTGGGGAAAGTGAGAGAGATGGCACTTAAGCACATCCTCATATGTAGAAAGCCTGTTTTAGCTCTTGCCCTGCTCTGAGCCAGGCTTTGCGACGCATGTCCCCGGAAGACTGGGAACAAATCAATCTAACAAATAATTCACCGGCTGCGGCACGCCCGGCTGAACTGATGGCAGAGGAAGTGACAAAATGAATTAAAGATTCAAAGGAAACTGTCACTTTGTGTTACAGAAACCGACTAAACAGGTTTATGCTTTTGCCGCCGAGAGTTGGGAAAGTGCTGAGAGCAAATTCACAAGCACTTGCACTGGCAAGGAAAGTAAAAGCATTAGGAGCAGCCCAGCAAGGGAGGACACAGACACAGTGACAGAGAGAGAGAGAGAGAGAGAGAGAGAGGGAGAAAGAACGACAGAAAGAGAGGGAGATTCTCCTATTTCTGTCTATCCATGTCTTGCCTGGCATCCTCTTTATCCTAGTTTTTAATGCAAGTTAAACGGGAATGAACATGGGCCCATAAAAATCCATCAGCAGAGAGAGAACGTGGCAGAGCCAGAGACGATCTGAGCAGCATCGGATGTAGTAAAATTAGACACCAAAACAAATATTGAGCTGCAGAGCCCCTGCTACACAACTCACAAACTTTGTAGAACGTCAGTAGATTGAAGGGTATCTAAGACAGGTTAAGTTCCATTGAACAAAGGTCTTTTATTTGCATTAGTTTTACTAGAAAGATTTTGTGTCATAGTGTAAATGTTGCTTCACAGGCTTTTAAAAACAAATAAACTTGCTGTTATACAATATTAATTATAAAGCAACAATACCAGTTTGGTAAATTAACCTTGGGCAAGACTAGGTCATTTATTTTTTTAGGGGCAGTTACACTGAAAACCTGTGTTAATCTCCACAATTCTATCTAATCCATGTCTGTAAATCTCTCAATGAAAGCACTGCCCTTTTGCAGTAGCTGCACGCAATAATGGCTGCAGCATGTTAACTTGTATCAATTTTTAAGCTTCTGTGGAGCAGAACGTATCAACATGTAACAGATGAATCATTCAATTTAAAGAGGTTGTTTATGTCAGTGGTTCGGAGTTTCTGCACCCGGGGCTAACCAGGGATGCCAGACAACCAGTAACTGCCTCTACTAATAATGACAAACAGCCTTTGAGTCAGTGAGGAGTGAAAGTAAGACCAGAGGTGTGTAAGCATAGTGTAGTTAAGAGTTTTTTAAGTACCACACAAGTGACAGGATATAAAGTCCTCAATGAGGGCAACAAAACCAAAGTTTCATGATTGTATTGCACACAGATTAAGGACTACATAAATTATGGCAACACCCCTCCAGGAAAGATCTGTCACATTTAATCAGTTTTTTATGATGGGGAATTCCATCAACAATTCAGTGCCACGGTCTAAAAGGATTCTTAAAGAAAACGCCTTGCACTTTTTTATAAATTAGAATCTCAAAACTTAAATCAACAGATAGATGTTGTCATGCCAAAGCACTAGACTACAATATATTAATACACAATGCAACAAGCATCCTTGGAGCAATATGATGCTCTTCATCCAAACGAGGTCCCTTCAGTAGAAATGAATTTGCTTACATTGTAGAGCCTTGATTGTCATTCCAAACACTAGATGCAACATTTTGAATAGAAATCTATTAATTATTCAGCTTGAGCACTAAGTTCTTCTTCTTTTGGTGAAGTTGAAAGCAAAATCAACTCAAGAAGACTGAAACTACCAACCACATTCTGCGCTGTTCATCCATCCAGGAACTCTAGCTAATAAGAAATTGATGCCTTTTCCAGTCAATAACCTGGGATGAGTCCATCTGAAGGCTTCCCAACACGAAAGATCCTCTTTCATCCTTTGTGGCAGACTTGCAAAGCTCGAAGCACTACAAAGCGTCAGAGAAAACTGATCTGCATGAAGTTTGGTAATCTTGAGGTGACTAACTGCTTTTGAAGTTACCTGCTCTTTTGTACAGACTTTTGAGGAGGTACAGGAAAGTGGTTAGAAACTAGATATCGGTCTGCTAGTCACTAGAGATAGTCTAACCATTTGGAGAACTGAGATAACATACAACAATTGTATCTATGGGGTAAAATGATCCCTACTGAGTCTTTTGACTGTGTATGGAGAATAATATTATACCAGTGCTTGCTTAGGACGTGTATCTTAGTGGCAACTAATCTTTCTAAGCCTATCCTTTAAAGATGTTCTATCAAAGTGTGTTTGAGGATTAAACCACAGCCTGTTTGAAGACCAAACTTTTGAACTGGATGCCTGTACTCCATTGTTTTCCTTCAGCAAGCCAGTGGTAACATCTTACCTCTGCTGCCTACACCTCATTGCCCTAATGGTGTCTTCTAAGCTTTCTCTAATTGGCTTTTTGTATTTTGTGACATTTAAAATCTACATTTTTAAATAGAAGAAAGGCAAAATGGTAAAAAAAAAAAAAAAAGACAGACAGATGGGAATTCAATTGAAATTGTATAGTAGTGCCATTTTTGCATTGTGGCCATACAAACTGACCTCTTTTAAAGACTATGCTGTCGTAGGGTATTTTGTTTCTAGTCTCCAGGCTGGAGCAGTTCCAGCGGTGCCCTCTGAACTGGTGCTGGCACTCGTGGATGGCAATCTGGATTCCCTGGATTGCTGAAGCCGTCACATCTGGGTTACGCATGCACACCTCCAGCTGGCGCCGCGTCAAACCCGGCAGTGTCAGACACACCGTGTTGGCATTCAGGATCGGGTCGATGTTGGGGAGCTTCAGGCCCAAGATTTCATTGGAGTCTACCCTGCATGGAGCACACAGGTCAGGTTATTGACAAGACAATGTACAACTATTTTCTCGCTGTTCTATTCACTTTTGTTTCTAAGAAAAGTCTACTTGGCACATGTAAGCTTCCTGTTTATATCTGTTGGGTGTCACACCAACGCCCAGTTCCCACAGTACCAAACAGAGGCCATGACTTGATGGTCCTCAGTGTAGTTGATTCTGGCAAACCCATGATCAGGCAAAATTTTCACCAATATGAAAAAAGAGCTTCATACTGATTTAAATGGATGCGCAAAACCCTGGGACAAATAGTACTTGCATTTAGAGTTAATTTAGACCAAATTGTCTCCTGATCTTCACTTTGATGGTGACTTAACTGTGTAAGACAATGGTTATGCATTCAAACAGGTGAGTTGAAGTGGGGGATGAGAGGACAGCATCTACTTTGTTGGCATGAATCCAGTATTTCTATTACACGATTAAGATACACAGCAGGGGAAAAACAACTTCCTCATACTGTTATATCACCTAAGGAAATCAGTAAGCATGCAAATTCAGAGGTTATTTAGCTGTAAAGTGTGTCTCTGTGCTTGACTGTCTGCTGCTTCTGCTGCCAATCAATCATTTGAACAACAGTAATTCAGCTGACAGCATTCAAAACTCTTTTCTACTTCACAGAGAAACAGTAACAGCAATAACAAGGAAAACATAGGCTGCCCTGATGATGGCTTGAGAGCTGCAAAGTGCCCAGCTTTTTCTTTTCATTATCATTACAAGTAAAACACAGGTTGTGAGTCTCACTGTTTGTATGACTGAGACACACAAGTCAGGAGCAGTATGGCTGTGGCAGCACACACACACACACACACACACACACACACACACACAGTTTACACACATGCTCAAGCACACCCAGACATGCACACACAAATACCAGGTGTAGGGAGGAGTGTACAGTAACACACACAGAGACACTCACGCGGCTGCAGGATCTTTGAATACTATTTCTTTCCATAGTTTCATCTACACGTGTAACTTCTGAACATCCCTCTTCTGCAAGGCTCTTCATCAAAGACTTAAAAGTTCACAAACAACCTTTTGCTCTTTCTTTTTAAAAAAAGCATATAGTAGCTTTGGACTGTAATTACAATCAAATATACATACAACTTGCCCCCATAAAATGTTGTTCATTTTTTACGGTGGTGACATACTTTCTAGGTGACATTGCATGTTGAACTGTGTAATTCTGTAATTCCAGTTAGGCTTCTGTTACTACCTGTTGTGTTTCCTGCAGTGAGAGTAGACCTGTTTCAACAACTATCTTTCCAAAGGGCAACTTTTAATTGATTGGCAACATTGTTTGGGAATGCATGCAAAGGAGATAATATATAGTGAACCTGTAAAGACGTAGACTAATGCTTCATGTTTTTTACAATTTACTTTATGTTTTTTTTTATATTTTAGCCTTAAGCACGACCAAAATGTGCATGAATGAAATCTGACTTTTATATTGTTAAAGTAGATCAGATTTGACACAGTATTCACTTGATAACTAATCATTTAGACTAGGATAAAATATATATTTAAAAATAAAGTTCTTGAACACAGTTTTGCAAAATGAAGATCCAGAGAACCTACACTGTTAGAACTTTCCTTTAGTTTAAAATCAGACATTACTTATTAAACTCAACTCACCTTTTATCCAAGAGACAGATAACCACCAAGACGCATGTTACTCTGAGGATTGAGTGTTCCATTTTGTGCCTTGTAATTATGCAAAAAAAAAAAAAAAAAAAGAAAAGAAAAAGAAAGAAAAGAGTTTTAAAAATAGAGAGGCAAGAAATTTAAAGTCTCATATTCCGCCTTAAAGTTCGGGAAGGACAAAACAGAAGAGTGGGGGTTCAGGTGAAGTCCGGCTAAACTCTGGCGCTGGACTTGACAGGTCCGACGTCCCCGAGTCCAGATGTGCCAGCCAGCGGCGGGATACTCATTCAAAAAAAAAAAAAAAAAAAGTTTCATCAACCCCTCAACTTACTGAATGGAGGAGGCTGCTACAAGTTTTGAGGAAACGCAAGTGTTGTCTTTCTCACACACATCCGTACACATCCCGGTTATCTCCGTCAAGGTCTTTTGCATTTGTAGCCTATAACATCCGAGAGAGACGGCTGAACCGAGATAGGCGTCCTAACTGAAGTCTGCTTGACTAGTGATGTTTCGGTGCGCACCGATAGTCCTCTAAACTACTGCACTTAGCGCTTCGCCAGCCCACTTTTTTGCGTCAGCCGGGGAGTAGGAGAGCGCCGAGGGAGGTCAAGTGCCTCGTTATAGCAGGATAGAGATCCTTTCAGATAAGGAAAGCAGAAACACTTAGCCTGCGCCCCCCTGTGAGGGACAACATTTATTCACTGGAGTCGCGATGCTGAGGATGATGAGGTGGACTGTAGAGAGTGTATTGCAAAAGTAGAGAAGAGTTTTGTGTTGATTTTTAGCGATTGCATGTTTAGTTAAGAAGCTGATGATGATGATAGGAGTGATAATGATAATGAAGAGTATGTGCTGTAAGAACAAGACAGTCTTTGTATAATTATATGAATCGCGGATTTGTTGATTAGATGAGGATTAGATAATGAAGATGAAAGACCATTAGATTGACTCATTCTCAAAAAAGACCATGATGTTCAACTACTGTGTGTGTGTGTGTGTGTGTGTGTGTGTGTTTGCATCGGTGTACATCTACACACTTTTTTTGCTTCCTGCAGTGGCATAAAATTGCGAACAATTTAGTTTAGGACTTGAATTAAAACCCCTACCTGTGTGACTTGAATTAAATGTTTCACTTTTATAAAGTTTGGAGGATTCTAAAGAGACATATAGAAGCTGAAATATTTTAGGCTCTTAGTTCCTATGTATGAAGCTTCATATGCCATGCCTGGTAACCCCTCCACAGATGACATTATATAACAGTTTTCACTGGTGCTGACAGGTGAACTGATTTGTGCAACATTGGTGAAGTTGTCCTTAAATACATTTTTCAAACTTTTTTTGCTTTATTGAACAAGAATCTATTTAAAAACAATAATATGAGTGTTGGAGGTGGGTTTTTAAAGTTTGAATTCTGTCATTGTCAGGACCCTTTTGTGCTCTGTGTGTGTCTCATGAAAAAATGAGGGCTTGTTAAAATTGTCGGCTGAAGTTCCCATTGGTCTCTAACCTTGCCTGTGTGTCATGGCCTTTAATCTTTCCATTTAAATGACTATAAAGTATAACAAAAAGCTGCCTTGTTGATGAAGACCACATGATATCACTCATCTCAGTGCTTTATGAGTAGCCTAGAATAAAGATTCAGAGACCACAAATAAAAAGGTTTTCCCCCACCAGCGGAGGGAAGCAAGCATTCTGCCAGCATGGAGTCACCAGAGTAGTAAAACGCTACACGAGCTTAGCATTCAGACGCAATTAAGTTGCCATACTCAAATTTAGAAGATCAGGGAAGAAATACCACTTCAAATTTTCTCCCACAGAGATTTATCACAGCACCCTGATCTGGCAGATTTGGCAGGGACGGCAACTTTGTGCTTAATTATTTCAAGGCTGCCTTGTTAGTAGACTTAGTGGTTTTTGTGACTTTGAGTTCGGCTCTACAGCAGAATGCTGTCATCCCAATCTTTCTGTCTCTCTTGATCTCGTCATGACTGACGATAACATTATTTTATGAATCACAGTTCCTTATAAACTTGACTCATGCATTGCTCCCCTGCCTCCCCTTCAAGAATCAAAAACAGCAGAAGACTTCTACTAGGCAGCTCTATAAATCAAATCATGAAAGGTGTTTAACATGTTTCTTTGCTAAAAAAAAAAAACGTCTGGAAACAATGGAAGCCTATTACTGCCAGGAACTTATATTAAATAAAGATGAAAAATGTAGTCATGATAAAGATGAAAATGTTCACTAAGATTACAAGATACAAATTGACTTACAAAGTCAAAATTATGAGATAAGTCAAATATTTGACTTTTACAGCAAGACTATGTCACTTCTGAAAAAGGAAATCACACATTTCTCCTGTTAAAAATTGAAAGTTGAATCTATAAGCAGTAAAATGCACCTTCTCTCAGGTCATTCTAATCAGTGGTTTGTCCAGTATGACCAGTAGCTTATAGTGGCTAATGTAAATGTAAATGTAGTAATGACATTACTGAGTCAGTTTGTTGACTTTATGACTTAATCCCATATTATTGTTATCTTAAAAGTTATTGTGTGAAACATTGACAATAAACTATTGGCAGAAATGGAATATAAAATTCAGAGGTATGATTTCATTAGTGTTAAATCATTTGAAAATAAGAATCATTGTGGGAGTTTTTTGATCCTCTTTTACAGAGTCTGCCATATTGAACAACCGTGTTCCTACAGTAGCCCAAAATGGACAAACCAAACACTGGCTATAGATAGGACCTTTAGCATTTTTGGCGAGTTTTGCAGCCTCCCTAGTTTATCCTTCGCACTTGGTTGAGCCGAGGGGTGTCATGTTAGTTGTTTCTCACTGCTAGATGCCACAAAATCAAAAGATCAAAAAAACACACTGGTCCTTTGAGTGACCTGTTTAATATATGTATAACTTGTGCTAAACAGCTGCCATTGTCGTTACAAGTGACAATTAAAAGATAATTCAAATTCTCTCTGGGGTGATATTTACCAAAAGTTTGATAAGATTGGGAAATATTAAATAGCATAATTCAAATTCAACTTTTAATTTGTAATCTTCAAAAATTTACATAGTCTCACTTTAATAAGTAAAAATTATGTCAAGAGATTATGTATGAGACAGAACGGTGATACAAAGTCAAAATTGTACATTTCTTGAATGTTTTAAGTGTAAAAATTCTAACTTCGTAAGTAAACACTTTGAGACCAGAAAAGTCTTAAAATAGTACCTCAGATGTTTTACATACTACTTTTATTTTTATCATTACTCATTTTTCATCTTTTTTTTCTTTTCCTTGCAGATATTGGCTTCCATTGGGACGCTACTTTGATGTGATCCACAATTTAAAAATGTCAAGTTTGTACTCAGATTGGATGTCACTGACCTCTAATTATTTACCAACTTTTCAGTCCATGTGGTCTATGTCTAAGCAAGTATCATTATAAGCCCCACCTGTTTTTATTTAAGGACTCATACTTGAAAAAATGTGTTGGGGAAGATGACTTTGGGGCCTAATTTTTTTTATATTAACATTTTTACATTTGAATGACAAGTCTAAGTCCCAGCAGGCACACAGACGCTACATATTCATGCTATGGACCTATTACACATTATTCATAATGAAAAGGATATCGTGCACACACACTTACACACAGTCAGACACATAATACATACAACTCCCACATCTGGACTGGAGTCTGCCAAAGAGTTAGCTCCGCCGTCTTACTCTCTCTCTGACTCTTTTTGTGTGTGTTCCCCTCTCTCTCTCTCTCTCTCTCTCTCTCTCTCTCTCTCTCTCTCTCTCTCTCTCTCTCTCCCCCTGTCTCTGTCTCTCTATCTCTCTCTCACACACACACACACACCTAAATGCACACACACACACACACACACACACACACACACACCGCACGCACGCACACACACACACACACACACACACACACACACACACACACACACACACACACACCTTTAATTGTTTCCCATTCTTCACCAGAGAGTATGTGCCTGTTTTGTTACATTCATTAAAAATGATGTGGGAAACCTTGCAGTGCTAGTCTCAGTTCAACTTGACTCCTGTATCTAGAGACATACAGACTTTATTTTTGTCAAATGCTCATGCCAGGTTTATTTCATAGTTCCCTATTTTGTGCCTGAACCTTTTTGTTTTAACATGGTTTTCCTGTTGCCCTTGAAAACATTTATTATTCTTATCTTGCACTGCTCACTCTCCCTCACTCGCTATACGAAATATGAACCTGCTGAACATTTAATTCAATAATAAACTAAAACACTGAGTTTTCCCAACAGCGCCGGTATTTTTGTCAAGTTGCAGTGTCTGGTTCAATTGAAACTTTATTGTCCTGCAGGGAGAGACACGGCCGAGCTAAGTTTTCACAGTCTGGTGGCGAGTGCCATGTAAACACATTAGGTCATACAGAATTTATGCATCTATAGTTTCTGCTCTTGTGCAATCAAACTTAACTTTTAGTGCGGCAGTATCGCAGAGCAGCAGTGATTCACTATACTGTAATGTAAAACGTGAAAATATAAGATTTTATCTTTAAGCTTTTTTATGTTTATCTTCTGCCAAATCCAAAATTTTAAGTTCATGTTGTGCTTAAAATACACGTGTTAAGACTGGATTTGCCATGTGGCCAATTGCCAAAGTCTCTTACACTGAGACATTGATCCCCTCACTTCTTTTCCAGTAATCTTTCCCAATATATGCTTTGCCCTGCAACATGTAGCCTACCATACAACTTTAGATAATGAGTTATACAAAGCAAGACACTACAGGCAAATGGGACATTCACCATGCCTCTTCTCACATTATGTGTGAAAGACGAAATCAGACCAAAACTGCAATGGTTTTCAATCCAATGATGTAATGATATATAGCACATTTTTAGATATAGCACTTATCTACTTTCTTGCCAAAAATCAGAAGAGACAATCAATATCAATATGCTAAGAACATCAGACATCAGATTAGTTTGTTTTAGCAGAAAGATTGGGAACAAGGGGAAAGAGGCTAGCTGTTTCAGTTTTGTGCTGCCTAATTAGTGAGCTTTGGATGTGTTGGTCGGCTGCGGCAACTTTTGCACAGAGCCAAGCTTGCTGTTTCCCTTGTACTGCCCTTCTGTGGTGTACTCTTATGCAAAGCTAGACAGCAAGTTAAAACTCAAAAGTCCTTCAATAAACACACAATGCTATAGTGCTTGTGCTAAGCTTAGCTAAATCAAATCAATGTTTTTTTTTGTTTGTCATTTGTTTTTACCCTCCTCCTAGTTATATACAGCAGCCAGATCATTTCCTTCCTGTTAACTACAAAGTTCAACTGCACTGCAGCTTTCATGCTTGGTTGAAAACCATGGTAACTTTGGTCTGATTACCTCTGTCACACTTGTAAACTCAAAGGTGATATATGAATGGTGATGTAGTATATTACTGCTTTTTAGACTGTAAAGGGAACCCATTGTGTCTTAACTTTGGTGCATTTGACACAGTACAGTAATGAACTTTCATTAGTTTGGAGTGTCCCCTCCTTACTGCCATGAACTTTTAAGATTGACTTCATTGTTGCAGAAATAACAGAGTGGGTGGTCATGGTTACTTTCACCATTTAATGTCACTATCATGAACCCAAACTACTGTTAGTGCCAGCCTGGGATCTCATACACCCCAAATTAAGTAGAAGGTAGTTTACTATGAGAGGATTTATGATCAGAAGGTCAAAAATAATTGCAACATATAGTAATTCAAAGACAGCTTGTGCAAAATCCCTCATCTTCTCTCTGTGTCTCTCTTGGCCTTTCTGTACCTCACACTCTAACAGCACATGCACCAATAACACTGTGTAGTAGACTTTGCAGTA